GATGGGATACAAGGAGAATAGAAGCATCAGGGAAGACAGAGGTGAAGGTTTATAAACTAAAAGAGGAGGCAGTTAGGGTAAGATATAAACAGCTATTGGAGGATAGAGGATGAGAGCATAGGCAATGGGGTCGAAGAGGTATGGGGTAGGTTTAAAAATGTAGTGTTAGAGTGTTCAGCAGAAGTTTGTGGTTACAGTAAAGTGGGTGCGGGAGGGAAGAGGAGCGATTGATGGAATGATGATGTAAAGAGAGTAGTAAGGGAGAAAAAGTTAGCATATGAGAAGTTTTTACAAAGTAGAAGTGATGCAAGGAGGGAAGAGTATATGGAGAAAAAGAGAGAGTTAAGAGAGTGGTGAAGCAATGTAAATAGAGAGCAAAAAGAGAGAGTGGGTGAGATGTTATCAACAAATTTTGTTGAAAATAAGAAAAAGTTTTGGAGTGAGGGTTAACAAGTTAAGGAAGCCTAGAGAAGAAATGGATTTGTCAGTTAAAAATAAGAGAGGAGAGTTATTAAATGGAGAGTTAGAGGTATTGGGAAGATGGAGGGAATATTTTGAGGAATTGTTATATGTTGATGAAGATAGGAAGCTGTGATTTCGTGTATAGGGCAAGGAGGAACAACATCTTGTAGGAGTGAGAAAAGCCAGTTGTGAGTGTGGGGGAAGTTGTGAGGCAGTAGGTAAAATGAAAGGGGTAAGGCAGCCGGGATTGATGGGATAAAGATAGAAATGTTAAAAGCAGGTGGGGATATAGTTTTGGAGTGGTTGGTGCATTATTTAATAAATGTATGGAAGAGGGTAAGGTACCTAGGGATTGGCAGAGAGCATGCATAGTTCCTTTGTATAAAAAGGTAAAGGGGACAAAAGAGAGTGCAAAAATTATAGGGGATAAGTCTGTTGAGTATACCTGGTAAAGTGTATGGTAGAGTTATTATTGAAAGAATTAAGAGTAAGACGGAGAATAGGATAGCAGATGAACAAGGAGGCTTTAGGAGAGGTAGGGGATGTGTGGACCAGGTGTTTACAGTGAAACATATAAGTGAACAGTATTTAGATAAGGCTAAAGAGGTCTTTGTGGCATTTATGGATTTGGAAAAGGCGTATGACAGGGTGGATAGGGGGGCAATGTGGCAGATGTTGCAGGTGTATGGTGTAGGAGGTAGGTTACTGAAAGCAGTGAAGAGTTTTTATGAGGATAGTGAAGCTCAAGTTAGAGTATGTAGGAAAGAGGGAAATTATTTCCCAGTAAAAGTAGGCCTTAGACAAGGATGTGTGATGTCACCGTGGTTGTTTAATATATTTATAGATGGGGTTGTAAGAGAAGTAAATGCGAGGGTCTTGGCAAGAGGCGTGGAGTTAAAAGATAAAGAATCACCACATAAAGTGGGAGTTGTCACAGTTGCTCTTTGCTGATGACACTGTGCTCTTGGGAGATTCTGAAGAGAAGTTGCAGAGATTGGTGGATGAATTTGGTAGGGTGTGCAAAAGAAGAAAATTAAAAGTGAATACAGGAAAGAGTAAGGTTATGAGGATAACAAAAAGATTAGGTGATGAAAGATTGGATATCAGATTGGAGGGAGAGAGTATGGAGGAGGTGAATGTATTCAGATATTTGGGAGTGGACGTGTCAGCGGATGGGTCTATGAAAGATGAGGTGAATCATAGAATTGATGAGGGGAAAAGGGTGAATGGTGCACTTAGGAGTCTGTGGAGACAAAGAACTTTGTCCTTGGAGGCAAAGAGGGGAATGTATGAGAGTATAGTTTTACCAACGCTCTTATATGGGTGTGAAGCATGGGTGATGAATGTTGCAGTGGTATAGTGGTACCAACACTCTTATATTGGGTGTGAAGCTTGGGTTGTAAATGCTGCAGCAAGGAGGCAGTTGGAGGCAGTGGAGATGTCCTGTCTAAGAGCAACGTGTAGTGTAAATATTATGCAGAAAATTCGGAGTGTGGAAATTAGGAGAAGGTGGGGAGTTAATAAAAGTATTAGTCAGAGGGCTGAAGAGGGGTTGTTGAGGTGGTTTGGTCATTTAGAGAGAATGGATCAAAGTAGAATGACATGGAGAGCGTATAAATCTGTAGGGGAAGTAAGGCGGGGTAGGGGTCGTCCTCGAAAGGGTTGGAGGGAGGGGGTAAAGGAGGTTCTGTGGGAGAGGGGTTTGGACTTCCAGCAAGTGTGCGTGAGTGTGTTAGATAGGAGTGAATGGAGACGAATGGTATCTGGGACCTGACGAGCTGTTGGAGTGTGAGCAGGGTAATATTTAGTGAAGGGATTCAGGGAAACCAGTTATTTTACATAGCCAGACTTGAGTCCTGGAAATGGGAAGTACAATGCCTGCACTTTAAAGGAGGGGTTTGGGATATTGGCAGTTTGGAGGGATATGTTGTGTATTCTTTATGCGTATATACTTCTAAACTGTTGTATTCTAAGCACCTCTGCAAAAACAGTGATTATGTGTGAGTGAGGTGAAAGTGTTGAATGATGATGAAAGTATTTTCTTTTTGGGTCACCCTGCCTCGGTGGGAGACGGCCGACTTGTTAAAAAAAAAGAAAATATATACGTATATAGCAATCAGTTACGTAATGTTAAACATTATCCTGCTGTCTCAAGAGAAAGAAAAAATGTATGGATCGATTGATAATCCTAGGCAGCCTCTCTAAGGACATTTAATAAACATTAGAAAATAAACTAGCACCATGTAATTTTGGTATAAAGGTACACCATTATATAAAATTCTTGAGTACTATATATATTTTCACTACTACAATAATAAAATTATTGAAATAACAAAGCCATATATAGTAATACTGATGGTTATGATCATGACTGGTTCATTAGGTTTAACCCTTTCAGGGTTGGTGCTGTACTGGTACGGCTTGTACGCCCGGGTTGGTGCCGTACTAGTATGCATAAATTCTAATGCCTTCATATCTAGCGAGAGAAAGCTGGTAGGTCTACATATGAAAGAATGGGTCTATGTGGTCAGTGTGCACAGTATAAAAAAAAAATCTTGCAGCACACAGTGCATAATGAGAACAAAAACAACTCCAACCGTGTTTTTGCTTTAAAACAGCGACTTTGCACTGTATTTTCATATGCTATTTATGGCTGTATTCTAGTTTTCCTGGTCTCATTTTATAGAATGGAAGACATATTACAGAACTTGAGATGATTTTGATTGGTTTCACAATGAAAAGTACCTTGAAATTGAGCTCAAAATAGCAGAAATGTTCAATTTTTGCCAAAGTTCAAAAGTAAACAAATCATGCCACGCGTCCAATACACGTTAACTGGTGAATCTGATATTCTTTCACAAGTGCGCTGATATTATTTATACCATTTCTATACTGATGCAGTAGTCTGCATAACAGTAAATCTTCTATTTTTTTGTGAGAATAAAAATTCAAAGTGGAAAACAAAAGAAATGTAAGAGAGGCCTGAAGATGTGACTAATGAACAGAAAAATTTTTATTTTAGTGCCAGGAATGTCTGTCTTGTTTATTCTGGACCATATTTGGAAATTGGCGTCTTTTGAAATTTGTATGAAATTGTCAAAATTGCCAATTTCTGACCACTTTATTGGATAGTTGAAATCGGTAAATGGGTGGTTTCTTGTACTCATTCGACAGAAAAAATGGAGTTCTAGCGAAATAGTTATGATTTTTGTCGACTGGTACGTTGGAATTGGCCGAAAATAGGGCTCAAAGTGGGCGAAATCGCCAATGCGTAAACATCGTCGAGACTGGTAACTTCGCGAGAGCACAATTCCTTAAGTTTTCCATCAAATTTCATACTTTTGGTGTCATTATGATCGGGAAAAGATTCTCTATCTTTTCATAAGAAAAAATAATTATTTTTTTTTAAATTTTGGCAACCCTGAGAACAAGTCTCTGAGAGGGTCTGGCGACCCTCAAAGGGTTAATTCAGCTAAGCAAGATTAATTATAACACAGATGTAAGAGATGTCATACTTGCTTTTTGCTGATGACACTGAGCTTTTGGGAGATTCTGAAGGGAAGCTGCAGAGGTTGGTGAATGGGTTTCAAAAGGTATGTAAAAGATGGAAATTAAAAGTGAATGTAGGAAAGAGCAAGGTGATGAGGATAACAAAAAATTTTGGTAATGAAAGATTGGACATCAGATTGGAGGGAGGGAGTATAGAGGAAGTGAATGTATTCAGATATTTGGGAGTAGACTTTGTCAGCAGATGGGGCTATGAAAGACAAGGTGAGAATCATAGAATTAATGAGGGGAAAAAGGGGAGTCGGGTACTAAGGAGTCTGTGAAGACAGTGTGTTATCCATGGAAGCAAAGAGGAGAATGTATGAGAGTATAGTGGTATCAATGGGTAGTGAGTGTTGCAACAAGAATACTGGAGGAAGTGGAGATGTCGTGTCTGAGGGCAATGTGCAGCGTGAACATAATCCAGAGAATCCATAGCTTGGAGATTAGGAGGTGCAGGGATTTCTAAAAGTATTATTCAGAGGGCAAAGGAAGGGTTACTGAGAGGATGGAACAAAATAGAATGACTTGGAAGGCATATAAATCTGTAGTGGAAGGAAGGTGAGGTAGGGGTCATCCTAGGAAAGGTTGGAGGGAGGGGGTAAAAGAAGTTTTGTGTGAAGGGCTTGGACCTCCAGCAAGCGTGCATGAGCATGTTAGATAGGAGCAAGTGGAAACAAATAGTTTTTATGACTTGATATGCTGTTGGAGTGTGAGCAAAGTAACATTTATGAAGGGATTCAGGGAAGCTGGTTACCCAGACTTGAGTCCTGTGGGTGGGAAGTACAGTGCCTGCACTCTGAAGGAGGGGTGTTAATATGTTGCAGTTTTTTAACTGTAGTATAGGCATGCCTCTGGCAAGACATTGATGGTGTGAATATTAAAGAAAGTGTTTCTTCTTTTTTGGGTCACCCTGCCTCAGTGGAGAATGCCCAGTGTGTTCATAAAAAATAAAAATGTAAGTTTTTCAGGATGAAATTCATACTGCAGTATATTCCACAAAAGTTAAAACTTTATTTTTATCTTTTATATTCCGCCCTGATTACAAACACAAATGTTATGTCATTTAGATCAATAATAATGCTAAAAGGAAAACTGTCTTGAGAAAATGCTAAAATGACATTTAAAAAAATACTTTGGTAATTGGAGTAAAATCATACTTGAATTGAAAAATCAAAACTTTTCACAACCCCTTTCATAATATAAAAAGAAAAATATTGTTTATTTAAAGGATCCGTCAAGATGCAGAACTGCGAGAGCCTGCATAACAGCGCTCCTACCAATGAACATAAAGCAAGATTTCTTTAAAAGTAGACACAGTATATGGCAAGTTAAGGTAAGAAATTGTAAATAACTATCAATACACTAACACACTGGTTAAATAAATGATATTAATAGTGGCAGTATTTCTTAAGTGTGTGTATCACAAGAGAATACTAGGTTCCTTGTATTTTATTACATGCAACATTTAGCCAAAATTAGGATTAAAAAAATGCTGTATCTGCCAAATTGAAAACAAAAAAAAATTATACTGAGCTATTACTACAAGTTATACTGTAAATTAATAATTCAATAATAATGGTAACTGGAAGCACTGTACAACAGAACTGACAAATAAAACAAAATTTTGAAAAATTGATACAGCATTGGATAAAATGAAGTACATAATGGAGTACATTAATATACTGTAATAGATGATTCCAGTATTTCTACCTCTTATGTGGTGATGGTCTATGCATATACTAGAGTATTTTGATTTCCACTCTCATGTATGATTCTTTTGGATACCACAAGGTGAAAAGATCATGCAAACTAAAAAGTCAAACAAAATCCTGTAAACTGAAATAAAGCATATCATGCAGTTATGTCACAAACACTTTTCTTGTATATAATACCCAATCACTCAATGGGCAAAATACAGTGCTTAATAATTCAATAAAAAATTCTGGTAATGACAAGACTGTATTTCAGTTCATTTTACACAATTTTTTTTTCAGTGTTTATCACTAACAGCTGTAGATTTTCTTAATGTTTAAACAAACAGATACTATAATTATGCTCCTGGAATACTGTAGTTAAAAAAACGGGAAAAAGGGCACATACGATTTACAATATCAAAATTATCGAAAATTCAAAACAATTCCTTAAAATAAAACATGATTGTATCACTTAAAACCTGTTGCCTGCATTCCTGCAAATTCTTGAGTGCTAATGTTCAAACTTCTGTATATTCTGTCAAACTGAAAAAAGAAGAAGGTAAGAATTAAAAAAAAAAAAAAGTTGCAGAAACATAAACAACACAAAGTTGAGCAAGATTTAGAGACACTCCTTTAATGAGTTTGCCTTGTAAAATATCTACCTTGAAAGCATGCCTTAACATTTTCAAAACACGAATACATTTGGTAAAACCCTAATCGATAAAAATGTTTATTAACCCTTTAACAGTGGGAGACCCTGGAAAAAAATTTCCTGTGTGTAGGGGAAAATTTTGAAAAAAAAAAAAAAAAAAAATTCTTACAGATCAATAGTTTGTTTTTCTGAATCAAATAAGACTAAAATAAATAAATAAAAATAAATAAATAAATAAATAATTAATACATATATATACACACACAGTTTGGAGGGATATACAGGGGAACCTCTACTCGCGAGTGTGTCCATGTGCGAGTTTTTCCAAATACGAGCAGTCGATGGGTCGATTTTTTGCTTTCATACGCGAGCAAAATTTCCACAAGCGAGCAGACCTCAAGGCAGGTTCCTTGACACTGGTGAGGGGCTCTTGCTCTTGATCTTGGGAATTGTATCTCATTTGTTTGTTGGACTATCTTATTGAAACTTGGGCAATGTATGATGGAAAGATGCTTCTTAATGTACACCAAAAATTAAAGAAATCTAAGCATAAATAATGGAGTTCACTTCCCAGCAATTAGCCACTCCTTAGTGGTAATTTCGAATGGTTTTTATGGTTGTATTCTCGTTTTCTTGGTCTCATTTGATAGAATGGAAGATATATTACAGAAATAGATATGATTTTTATTTATTCAGGAAACGTTTCGCCAAACAGTGGCTTCATCAGTCCAATACAAAGAGGAAGGCATAAGGAGAGGAGTAGTATGAGGTAATCAGTCCCTCAGCCTGGAGTCGATGTGTTCAGTCCATCAATCTTGTAGAATGTACAGCATAGGGCCGTAGACGTGGCTTATATACTGTAGAGAGGCGAGGTGAAGCAGGCGGAGGCGGGGTCATAGTGGTACCATCCACTAGTGAAAGTAGGTCTTCGTCCAAAGATTGAACAAGTGTTGAAGAATTCTTTGTAACAAGATCCCATGATGCTGCAGTGTCTGACAGTTGTGATGAATGGTTTGAAAAACCGACAATCTTCATGATTTTTATTGCTTTCATGATGAAAAGTACCTTGAAATAGAGCTCAACCTAGGAGAAATATTCCATTGCTTGGCTTGCGGTTGTGGCCGCCTCCACCTGTTACATAATGACATATTTTATTCATTCTAGAGTATATATCGTGCTTCTATGTTATTTATATTGTCTGTTACGTCATATTAGAAGAACTGTGATATATAAATAAGCCGTATAGATGATATTAGCGAAATTATTCATGAAGTATTTTGCCCAGTCTCCAGACAAACTCTCCTCCACCGCCCATACCACTACATGAATGACATATTTTATTCATTCTAGAGTATATATCATGTTTCTATGTTATTTATATTGTTTATTATGTCATATTAGATGAAGTGAGATAGATAAACAAGCCGTAGAGTTGATATTAGCGAAATTATTTAAGTACAGAATTCCACTGGAACGGATTAATTGCATTTCAATTAATTTCAATGAGGAAAACAGAGGTAGAGGTAGAGGTTCCACTGTATTGTGTAATTTTTTTATGTATATACTTCTAAACTGTTGTATTTCGGGCACCTCTGCAAAAACAGTGATTATGTGTGAGTGAGGTGAAAGTGTTGAATGATGATGAAAGTATTTTCTTTTTGGGGATTTTCTTTCTTTTTGGGTCACCCTGTCTCGGTGGGAGACGGCCGACGTTGAAAAAAAAAATATATATATATACTATTTTTTTTTATTATCACACTGGCCGATTCCCACCAAGGCAGGGTGGCCCGAAAAAGAAAAACTTTCACCATCATTCACTCCATCACTGTCTTGCCAGAAGGGTGCTTTACACTACAGTTTTTAAACTGCAACATTAACACCCCTCCTTCAGAGTGCAGGCACTGTACTTCCCATCTCCAGGACTCAAGTCCGGCCTGCCGGTTTCCCTGAATCCCTTCATAAATGTTACTTTGCTCACACTCCAACAGCACGTCAAGTATTAAAAACCATTTGTCTCCATTCACTCCTATCAAACACGCTCACGCATGCCTGCTGGAAGTCCAAGCCCCTCGCACACAAAACCTCCTTGACCCCCTCCCTCCAACCTTTCCTAGGCCGACCCCTACCGCGCCTTCCTTCCACTACAGACTGATACACTCTTGAAGTCATTCTGTTTCGCTCCATTCTCTCTACATGTCCGAACCACCTCAACAACCCTTCCTCAGCCCTCTGGACAACAGTTTTGGTAATCCCGCACCTCCTCCTAACTTCCAAACTACGAATTCTCTGCATTATATTCACACCACACATTGCCCTCAGACATGACAACTCCACTGCCTCCAGCCTTCTCCTCGCTGCAACATTCATCACCCACGCTTCACACCCATATAAGAGCGTTGGTAAAACTATACTCTCATACATTCCCTCTTTGCCTCCAAGGACAAAGTTCTTTGTCTCCACAGACTCCTAAGTGCACCACTCACTCTTTTTCCCTCATCAATTCTATGATTCACCTCATCTTTCATAGACCCATCCGCTGACACGTCCACTCCCAAATATCTGAATACGTTCACCTCCTCCATACTCTCTCCCTCCAATCTGATATCCAATCTTTCATCACCTAATCTTTTTGTTATCCTCATAACCTTACTCTTTCCTGTATTCACCTTTAATTTTCTTCTTTTGCACACCCTACCAAATTCATCCACCAATCTCTGCAACTTCTCTTCAGAATCTCCCAAGAGCACAGTGTCATCAGCAAAGAGCAGCTGTGACAACTCCCACTTTGTGTGTGATTCTTTATCTTTTAACTCCACACCTCTTGCCAAGACCCTCGTATTTACTTTTCTTACAACCCCATCTATAAATATATTAAACAACCACGGTGACATCACACATCCTTGTCTAAGGCCTACTTTTACTGGGAAAAAATTTCCCTCTTTCCTACACACTCTAACTTGAGCCTCACTATCCTCGTAAAAACTCTTCACTGCTTTCAGTAACCTACCTCCTACACCATACACTTGCAACATCTGCCACATTGCCCCCCTATCCACCCTGTCATACACGTTTTCCAAATCCATAAATGCCACAAAGACCTCTTTAGCCTTATCTAAATACTGTTCACTTATATGTTTCACTGTAAACACCTGGTCCACACACCCCCTACCTTTCCTAAAGCCTCCTTGTTCATCTGCTATCCTATTCTCCGTCTTACTCTTAATTCTTTCAATTATAACTCTACCATACACTTTACCAGGTATACTCAACAGACTTATCCCCCTATAATTTTTGCACTCTCTTTTATCCCCTTTGCCTTTATACAAAGGAACTATGCATGCTCTCTTGCCAATCCCTAGGTACCTTACCCTCTTCCATACATTTATTAAATAATTGCACCAACCACTCCACAACTATATCCCCACCTGCTTTTAACATTTCTATCTTTATCCCATCAATCCCGGCTGCCTTACCCCCTTTCATTTTACCTACTGCCTCACGAACTTCCCCCACACTCACAACTGGCTCTTCCTCACTCCTACAAGATGTTATTCCTCCTTGCCCTATACACGAAATCACAGCTTCCCTATCTTCATCAACATTTAACAATTCCTCAAAATATTCCCTCCATCTTCCCAATACCTCTAACTCTCCATTTAATAACTCTCCTCTCCTATTTTTAACTGACAAATCCATTTGTACTCTAGCAGCGTATATGGAGAGTAAAAGAAAGGTGAAGAGAGTGGTGAGAGAGTGCAAAAGGAGAGCAGATGATAGAATGGGAGAGGCACTGTCAAGAAATTTTAATGAAAATAAGAAAAAATTTTGGAGTGAGTTAAACAAGTTAAGAAAGCCTAGGGAAAGTATGGATTTGTCAGTTAAAAACAGAGTAGGGGAGTTAGTAGATGGGGAGAGGGAGGTATTAGGTAGATGGCGAGAATATTTTGAGGAACTTTTAAATGTTGAGGAAGAAAGGAAGGTGGTAATTTCATGCACTGGCCAGGGAGGTATACCATCTTTTAGGAGTGAAGAAGAGCAGAATGTAAGTGTGGTGGAGGTACGTGAGGCATTACATAGAATGAAAGGGGGTAAAGCAGCTGGAACTTATGGGATCATGACAGAAATGTTAAAAGCAGGGGGGGATATAGTGTTGGAGTGGTTGGTACTTTTGTTTAATAAATGTATGAAAGAGGGGAAGGTACCTAGGGATTGGCAGAGAGCATGTATAGTCCCTTTATATAAAGGGAAAGGGGACAAAAGAGAATGTAAAAATTATAGAGGAATAAGTTTACTGAGTATACCAGGAAAAGTATACGGTAGGGTTATAATTGAAAGAATTAGAGGTAAGACAGAATGTAGGATTGCGGATGAGCAGGGAGGCTTCAGAGTGGGTAGGGGATGTGTAGATCAAGTGTTTACATTGAAGCATATATGTGAACAGTATTTAGATAAAGGTAGGGAAGTTTTTATTGCATTTATGGATTTAGAAAAGGCATATGATAGAGTGGATAGAGAAGCAATGTGGCAGATGTTGCAAGTATATGGAATAGGTGGTAAGTTACTAAATGCTGTAAAGAGCTTTTATGAGGATAGTGAGGCTTGGGTTAGGGTGTGTAGAAGAGAGGGAGACTACTTCCCAGTAAAAGTAGGACTTAGACAGGGATGTGTAATGTCACCATGGTTGTTTAATATATTTATAGATGGGGTTGTAAAAGAAGTAAATGCTAGGGTGTTCGGGAGAGGGGTGGGATTAAATTATGAGGAATCAAATTCAAAATGGGAATTGACACAGTTACTTTTTGCTGATGATACTGTGCTTATGGGAGATTCTAAAGAAAAATTACAAAGGCTAGTGGATGAGTTTGAGAATGTGTGTAAAGGTAGAAAGTTGAAAGTGAACATAGAAAAGAGTAAGGTGATGAGGGTATCAAATGATTTAAAGAAAAATTGGATATCAAATTGGGGAGGAGGAGTATGGAAGAAGTGAATGTTTTCAGATACTTGGGAGTTGACGTGTCGGCGGATGGATTTATGAAGGATGAGGTTAATCATAGAATTGATGAGGGAAAAAAGGTGAGTGGTGCGTTGAGGTATATGTGGAGTCAAAAAACATTATCTATGGAGGCAAAGAAGGGAATGTATGAAAGTATAGTAGTACCAAAACACTCTTATATGGATGTGAAGCTTGGGTGGTAAATGCAGCAGCGAGGAGACGGTTGGAGGCAGTGGAGATGTCCTGTCTAAGGGCAATGTGTGGTGTAAATATGCAGAAAATTCGGAGTGTGGAAATTAGGAGAAGATGTGGAGTTAATAAAAGCATTAGTCAGAGGGCAGAAGAGGGGTTGTTGAGGTGGTTTGGTCATTTAGAAAGAATGGATCAAAGTAGAATGACATGGAAAGCATATAAATCTATAGGGGAAGGAAGGAGGGGTAGGGGTCGTCCTCGAAAGGGTTGGAAAGAGGGGGTAAAGGAGGTTTTGTGGGCGAGGGGCTTGGATTTCCAGCAAGCGTGCATGAGCCTGTTAGATAGGAGTGAATGGAAACGAATGATACTTGGAACCTGACGATCTGTTGGAGTGTGAGCAGGGTAATATTTAGTGAAGGGATTCAGGGAAACCAGTTATTTTCATATAGTCGGACTTGAGTCCTGGAAATGGGAAGTACAATGCCTGCACTTTAAAGGAGGGGTTTGGGATATTGGCAGTTTGGAGGGATATGTTGTGTATCTTTATACGTATATGCTTCTAAACTGTTGTATTCTGAGCACCTCTGCAAAAGCAGTGATAATGTGTGAGTGTGGTGAAAGTGTTGAATGATGATAAATGTATTTTCTTTTTGGGGATTTTCTTTCTTTTTTGGGTCACCCTGCCTCGGTGGGAGACGGCCGACTTGTTGAAAAAAAAAAAAAAAAAAAATTATTGTTCCTTGATAATGTGAGTAGTCACAAAAGCGCTTGGAATTTCTCTATTCTTTCACAGTGGTTGTTTTGCATATTCTGAAATCACCTGTTTACTGTGATCTTATTGCATTAATGGATACCACACGACTCTTGAGTCTGAGTGAGCGGCAGTCGCTGATGTTGCCATAAGCGGTTCACTTTCCGTCAACTTCACACCTGTATATCTTGGTAAGTGGTGATTGCAAAAAGTTTTTTTCTTTTAAAACAATCAGGAAAATATTTTGGTAAGAAAAACTTTTTTTTTTTTTTTTTTTAATATTTTTCAACACAGGATCAGAGGTCTCAACAATGAAAGGGTTAAAAGTAATGAACATCATAATTAATAAATAATACTCCAATGCAAACATACCTGTGATCACAGTGAACTGATATAAAGTCCGTGTTTTCAAGAAGTAACTGAAGGCGATTACTGTAACCTCGCTCCTGAGCTTCTCTTTTTGACAAATCTATGTAATTTGTGCTGTAGGTGCCATTCAGATTGAAATCTTCATGATTTCTGTGTTTTTCCCATACTGACTCTAGAGCTTCTCTCAGATTAAGTGCCCATGGGGATCCTAAATTAATATTTTCACCTTCAACATCAGAAAACTGTTCAGATGACTCACTTAAATACCTCTCCCTTTCCATGCAACAGCCTGAATCCCAAGTGTCTCCCAAATTAAGAGATTCTTTGTCTGGGTCAGTAAGGCTTGGGGGTTGGCTGCTATCCTCAGAGCTCTGAGGTCTTTGGCTAAAAGTGAGACTAATTGCAGAGTCTGAAGTATCATACAGAAAAACTTTAGATTTAGTATCTTTCTTTTTGCTTGTGACATTGTCCTCATTTTCAATATGATTAAGGAATGCTGTTTTAAGACAAGGAGACTTGAAGTTTCTGATTAATTTAGTTGTATTTTTATGATGAGGTGAAGTGGAGTTCAGACCATTTTCATGTGAGTATATAATGCAATTACTTGTTTTATTTCCTTGCTCAGGAACCTGGAGACTAACTCTTCCACAAGCTGTAATAGCATCATCTTCACTCTCTTGATCACACAGTGACAAATCCTGTAATCTTTGGACATAGTCTGAGTTGTTTGGTGGCATATTTATACTCTGTGCCTGGGATTCGTCAGGGTTTTTTCTCCTTCCAGTTGTACCTTCATACACTTGAGAGGGACAAGAGCCATCTGGTTGGTGCACACTTGTTATTTCGCTATGTTTTCCATCAATGGTCATATCTGTGGGATGAATCTGAACATCCGGGAAAACAGATGGTCCAGTTTCTGCTATACATCTATCAATATCCACATATTCTAAGTCCAGACCAAGGAGATGGTCTTTTCTCGCAATGTCTACTTCATCATCCAATTGGCAGACAACAGCACTTAGAGGAACAAATACTTCCCCATAATCTGAAAAAAAAAATTTTTTTTTTTACAAAACGCCAATTTTCATGAAAGCAAATATATCCTTAACTAGTTGATCTGTTGAGGTCTATGCTGGCAACTGGGTAGAGTATGACAAAATGTTCCTAACAGTATAATAAACATGAACTTACTGAAGGTCAAAGGATGCCTAGTTCATGAGTTACATAATATCTGATGTTACAACCATCATGTAAAATGAAAACCAGAGGCAGTTGTTTCAAGTTGTCCAAGTCTGACCAAAATGTCATCGTAAACTCCTCTCTTCTAGGTGTGGGTTATTTGTGTTTTGTTCCAGTCACAGTATTGTGCTTTTTTTTGTTATTTATAATTATTATTATACTGTACTCACAATAAAGAGGCAAACAGCAAGAAACAAACTTACCAGGTGGCCAGAGTGTAATAGTTACTCCGAGAGGACTGGCAGTAGTAACTTCAGACGTATACCATCCATCTTCAGCAATCTTTTTGGAAGATTCAACTTTATTTTCAGGAATTATTTTTTCATTGATGCTGGTAATGGATGATCCCTGTAGATGATGCTGAGGGACACTTGAACTTCTTGACGGATATTTACAATGGCCAAAGTAGACAACAGTGCCTATGCGATCACCTTGAACCAAAACTGTACTTCCCTGTGGCAACAGTAATCCATCTCTGTGGATAAAAATAATGGACTAATCAGAAAAGGACTATATGAAAATCTGTTAAATCAGAATATTACAAAACAGCAAACAGCAGCACTAAAGTACTCTACTGTACACCTAATAGTGTACACACAACTTACATGTACACAATTACTACAAAAAAAAAAAAAATGAAAATAAAGGATTTAAATACAAGTTCATAGCTGATTTTTGGGATTAGGTCAGGGGTTTCAAATAGAGTTACTCCTTCTTTAGTTCTATCAATAATGTTGAAGGATAAGTTATGGCAGGAAAAGAGGAAATATAAATGCATAAATTCAAGAATTATATGGTGTAAAATAAGGGTTGGATGTGAAAAGTGGGTTACAGTAAGTGTTTATGCACCTGGAGAAGAAAGAAGTGTAGAGAGAGAGAGAGAGAGAGACTTTGGGAATTGTCGAATGAGTACGTGGAGAGTTTTGAACCAAGTGAGAGAGTACTTGTTGTTGGGGATCTCAGTGCTAAAGTGGGTAAAAATGTTGTGGAGGGAGTAGTAGGTAAATTTGGGGTGCCAGGGGTAAATGAAAATGGGGAGGCTATGTGTAGAAAAAGGTTTGGTAATAAGTAATACATATTTTATGAAAAAGAGGATAAATAAGTATACAAGGTATGATATAGCACATAATAAAGGTAGTTTGTTAGATTATGTATTGCTGGATAAAAGGTTGATGGGTAGGCTTCAGGATGTACATGTTTATAGAGGGGATCATTATTTAGTTGTAGCTACAGTTAGAGTAAGAGGTAGATGGGACAAAAGGAGAGTGGCAACAGCAAGTAAGAGAGAGGTGAAAGTGTATAAACTAAGGGAGGAGGAAGTTAGGGTGAGATATAAGCAAGTATTGGCAGAAAGGTGGGCTAATGCAAGTATGAGTAGTGGGGGAAGGGGTTGAAGAGGGTTGGGATAGTTTTAAAAATGCAGTATTAGAATGAGGGGCAGAAGTTTGTGGCTATAGGAGGGTGGGTGCAGGAGGAAAGAGAAGTGATTGGTGGAATGAAGTAAAGGGTATGATAAAAAGAGAAAAAGGTAGCTTATGAGAGGTTTCTACAAAGCAGAAATGTTGTAAGAAGAGCAGAGTATATGGAGAGTAAAAAAAAATGGTGAAGAGAGTGGTGAGTCCAAAAAAGAAATTTTGCTGAAATTAATAAAATTTTTTGGAGTGAGGTGAACAAGTTAAGAAAGCCTAGGGAATGAATGGATTTGTCAGTTAAAAACAGAGTAGGGGAATTAGTAGATGGGGAACTGGAGGTATTGGGTAGATGGCGGAAATATTTTTGAGGAACTTTTAAATGTCAGGGAGGTATAACATCTTTTAGGAGTGAAGAGGAGCAGGATGTGTGTGTGGGGGAGGTGCATGAGGCATTACAGTGATTATGTATGAGTGAGGTGAAAGTGTTGAATGATGATGAAAGTATTTTCTTTTTGGGGATTTTCTTTCTTTTTGGGTCACCCTGCCTTGGTGGGAGATGGCCAACTTGTTGAAAAAAAAAAAGTCTTATGTTTCAAAATATTGTACTATACATGCAAGTGCTTCAGATAACAATTAAGTAGGCAGAATATACTGAGATAACACTTACTTTGTGGTGAGAATATAAAGGTGAGAGTTTGGGTCTGCAGCCAAGTGTGCACACACTACACACTCACAACCAGAAAGGGGGTGTGGTGCATACAACTCCTCTTGATTGCTCCATAACTAGCCAGTACAAACAATGACACAAGTAGGATCACTAAATAAATTAAACATTTTATTATTTTATTATTTATTATCACACTGGCCGATTCCCACCAAGGCAGGGTGGCCCGAAAAAGAAAAACTTTCACCATCATTCACTCCATCACTGTCTTGCCAGAAGGGTGCTTTACACTACAGTTTTTAAACTGCAACATTAACACCCCTCCTTCAGAGTGCAGGCACTGTACTTCCCATCTCCAGGACTCAAGTCCGGCCTGCCGGTTTCCCTGAATCCCTTCATAAATGTTACTTTGCTCACACTCCAACAGCACGTCAAGTATTAAAAACCATTTGTCTCCATTCACTCCTATCAAACACGCTCACGCATGCCTGCTGGAAGTCCAAGCCCCTCGCACACAAAACCTCCTTGACCCCTCCCTCCAACCTTTCCTAGGCCGACCCCTACCCCGCCTTCCTTCCACTACAGACTGATACACTCTTGAAGTCATTCCGTTTCGCTCCATTCTCTCTACATGTCCGAACCACCTCAACAACCCTTCCTCAGCCCTCTGGACAACAGTTTTGGTAATCCCGCACCTCCTCCTAACTTCCAAACTACGAATTCTCTGCATTATATTCACAACACACATTGCCCTCAGACATGACATCTCCACTGCCTCCAGCCTTCTCCTCGCTGCAACATTCATCACCCATGCTTCACACCCATATAAGAGCGTTGGTAAAACTATACTCTCATACATTCCCCTCTTTGCCTCCAAGGACAAAGTTCTTTGTCTCCACAGACTCCTAAGTGCACCACTCACTCTTTTTCCCTCATCAATTCTATGATTCACCTCATCTTTCATAGACCCATCTCCGGACACGTCCACTCCCAAATATCTGAATATGTTCACCTCCTCCATACTCTCTCCCTCCAATCTGATATTCAATCTTTCATCACCTAATCTTTTTGTTATCCTCATAACCTTACTCTTTCCTGTATTCACCTTTAATTTTCTTCTTTTGCACACCCTACCAAATTCATCCACCAATCTCTGCAACTTCTCTTCAGAATCTCCCAAGAGCACAGTGTCATCAGCAAAGAGCAGCTGTGACAACTCCCACTTTGTGTGTGATTCTTTATCTTTTAACTCCACGCCTCTTGCCAAGACCCTCGCATTTACTTCTCTTACAACCCCATCTATAAATATATTAAACAACCACAGTGACATCACACATCCTTGTCTAAGGCCTACTTTTACTGGGAAAAAATTTCCCTCTTTCCTACATACTCTAACTTGAGCCTCACTATCCTCGTAAAAACTCTTCACTGCTTTCAGTAACCTACCTCCTACACCATACACTTGCAACATCTGCCACATTACCCCCCTATCCACCCTGTCATACGCCTTTTCCAAATCCATAAATGCCACAAAGACCTCTTTAGCCTTATCTAAATACTGTTCACTTATATGTTTCACTGTAAACACCTGGTCCACACACCCCCTACCTTTCCTAAAGCCTCCTTGTTCATCAATTAAACATTTAACATATTTTTATAGCAGTTTGTTAAACTAATTATTTAGCTCTTATGAGATACACCAAGAGTTTCACTTATGGCATAAATATTAAAGACAGGCAGATGACTGCTTGTACAACAAATTCTGAAATTAAGCAAATTACATCAGAACATCACAATTAGTAAGAGACCAAATAAGAAAAATTTTGCAATTTTCATCTCTTGACATAGATACTGAAAAAACATATGGTTCCTATAAAACTGATACAGTTGTCTGCAGTCAACTCAATATGACTTCCATACCTCATTAGACATGTCTGGCATGGCAGCATCCTTGAGACTAGAGTCACTGAGGGTGGACTCTGGAAGATTATCTTCCAGATGAGCTTCACTGCCCTGCAGCACATTTGTTAGTTTCCGTGCTAGAAGTTTTACTGCATCACTCTCTGTAAACAGCTACCAAACATAAGCCAATTGAAAGGGCCTAATACATCAATTGCTGTACAGAACTAGTTTCCCAATTCAAACTGTTCAAAACATATAAGAATAACGCAAGAAAATTCTTTTCGTAACTCTCAATATAATTCTGAATGTATATCCTTAATTTTCATGTGGCATTAAATATGTATAAGACACTTATCCACATCATCTACTAATGAAAAACCTCTCACTTATTTAACGTAAAGAGTTTGTGAACATAATAATTAAGATAGTATATGTGGAGAAGGGGACATTAGAAATAGTACCTGTATTTGCAGGAGTAAGGCATGGTGTTGGTGAAGAGTAGACCTCAGCAACAGTCACTATACAGGATCCGCTGCTAGTCCTGCTGCTGGAACCCCGCCGCTCTAGACTGTTGGTGCTGCTTCTATGACTACTACTACTGCTCAGTGTCCCTACTGACACACCCTGACATGTCAAAGTGATTAATATAAAGTTGTTTACTGGATTTTAGTTTATATTTACTTTGACAATTTTCTCTTCCTTTACTGGAAATACATGTTATTACATGGTGCACCTTAAGCTTCAGGACTTTTTGGAGATCTGATCTTAAAGAGAGGTAAAATTTGAGGTGTTGCTGTCCTAAGTAATTAATCAAACTAGTAAGTGAACAAAATATTTCTTTTATAAAGTTTTGCTTTTAACAAGTCGGCCATCTCCCACCGAGGCAGGTGACCCAAAAAGAAAGAAAATCCCCAAAAAGAAAATACTTTTATCATCATTCAACACTTTCACCTCACTCACATATAATCACTGTTTTTGTAGAGGTGCTCAGAACACAACAGTTTAGAAGCATATACGTATAAAGATACACAACATACCCCTCCAAATCGCTAATATCCCGAGCCCCTCCTTTAGAGTGCAGGCATTGTACTTCCCATTTCCAGGACTCAAGTCTGGCTATATAAAAATAACCGGTTAAATAAATGCTGATGATAAATTAAACTCACTGACATAATATATTTAATTACTGCTGACCTGCATGCTGGAGATGAAATGCAAAGTCTCAGGAAGTATTCATAATTTCCTGTAAGTATAAGGAGGCTTACCTGTTTATTCATATTGGAACGTCGAACACGTCGTAAGCTGATAGTGCTATACTTCTTCCTCATAAAGCTTGATGGGGGAGGACTGCGACCAATGTTGAGGCTGCGTGATGAAGCATAACCCTGGCCTTGTAGGAATGATGTCTTTCTCTCACCAGGTTTTTGTATATGTGAAACACAGTCAGGAATAGCTGCACTTGATCTTACTTTTTCTTGGCGTTGCATTTGCTTGCAACTATCGCATTTATCCCTAACACCCACACTTCTATCATCAGTAGTCTGGTAACCATTATTAATATTTTGGTTTTCACATCTGGAAAGTTTGAGTGAACTTGCAATAAAGGTTGGAGGGGCCGACCCACATCTCTGTGATGAGGGGGATTCAAGTAAACTATGAGTGTCTGCAACATGCTTGGGAGAGGTGCAATGACATGCCACACACACGTCAGGAGAGCTGCTCTTCTCATATGCTGTAATTTTCTTTTCTAATTCAGCTACATTTTGTTGCAGTCTGTAACATATTTTTTTTTTACAATACTGCACATGTAGAGAAACAGACTTCAAAATTTAAAGACCTCTGGGATCAAGAGGTCATTTAGCAGTTAAAGACTCTACCCTCACAATAAATAATTACAAGCATTTGTGTCAAACATACACAAGGTATATCTAACCCATCAAAGTAAAAACTATTCACACATTGGCACTCAGTAAAAACAATAAATAGAAAAAACAACTAGGCGAAACAGCCTTCATTACAGTAGTTTAAAATATCATTTTTTTTTTCAACAAGTCGGCCGTCTCCCACCGAGGTAGGGTGACCCAAAAAAAGAAAGAAAATTCCCAAAAATTAAATACTTTC